GCAATTAAACTCATCTTATCCCTGCAGATACTGCAGCCTGGCTCCTGTGAGACCAACATGTTGTAGAAAAGTCACAGAGTCTCTAAATCTCGGGTCACATGGAGAAACTATGTCTCACCACACATTTGCAGTTCTAAGTTTTTCACTTTCTGTTTTCTCTGTGTGATCCTTTCGGGAAATAAATTTCACCTTTGCCCCCTTTTTACCGTCCCTCCCTTTCCCAAAGTTTCTTTTTCATCAGGCATCTGCAAAGTATGCTGTAATTGGCTACCCTAAGCACTCCCGGATTCTGTATGCTCATGTTATGTACTTTGCATATCTGTTGTATGATCTTAGGTCAGCTTGTCCTGAAACTGAATTACCCTCATGGAGTCAATTAAATAAGATATTTTATCTTATCTTAAGAAGAAAATAAACCAATTGACTCATACATGTATTTAACTTGATTTTTCTTTCTTTTTCTTAACAAAAATTGTTTTTGCCGAAGTAACTTTTGACCACTCAGGGAATCGATACTGATAGCTAAAACATGGGCTTTTAAGAGGGCAGCAAGTTAAAATAGAAAAGGGTGGCTAATGATGCATCAATAAAAATATTGTTTCATTCACAGTGAGGTTGATGAATAAAAGAATACATTCACAAGCCTCATTTTATCTATGATCCTTAAAAAAAAGAATGGGCTCAGAATCAAACAAAGCAAACTCTTAACATCAAACCAGAAGACTCAATGATAAAGCATTAAAGTCGAGGAAAACAAAGTGTCTTATGACACTTTGATGCAGACTGCCGTATGCCAGTTAACTAATCATGACCCTGTGTTTAGTTGGATTCGTTGGCAGGAAAGACTGATGGACTATCCTGGTTCTTTTGCTGTACTTCTTACAATGGAGAATGTGAATTAGGAGAGTCTGGCTGAGGCCCTGTTCTGTAAGATGATGAACTCTCACCTTGAGAGAATTTTGTGTGTGAGTAGAGCACACGTTTTCATTCAAGTCTTGTAAAAACTTTTGTTATTATGAGTGACACTGCGCATCAGCTGGACCGGCTGCCCTGCAGCTCAAACCTTTTTCAATGTTATTTGTTTAATGGATTGGATCCTTGTCTTCTCCCATGCTGTGATTCTCTGACTAGCACTTGTGCTTATTAAAGAATTTTTTTAAACAAAAAGAATCCATAAAAACAGCAGTTTTTATTATTATCATTAAGATTATGATTATTATTATTATTATCCATCCATTTTTTGAACTGCTTAATCCCAAATGGGGTTGTGGAGGTACTGGAGCCTATCTCAGCACACAACTGGCGAGAGGCAGATTACACCCTGGATGGTCCGCCAATCCATCGTAGGGCTATTATTATTATCATTATTATTATTATCATTATTATTATTATTTAGATTATTATTATTATTATTTAGATAATAATAATTATTATTATTATTCAGATTATTATTACTACCATATCCACCATAAAGCTATCACCATGGATTATGTGACTTTGAACAATGCACCTGAATATGTACATTCAAAAGTAGATAGAAAAAACATTTCTCATCCGCCACTGGAAAAATTCAAATGGTGCTGTAGTTCAACATATACATGTTTAAGATCATAATAGATTAGGAAAATAAAAATAAAATACAATCAACTGAAATGAATTTATGAAAGAAACATGATGATGATTTGATTGTTGAATAATGAGAAGACTGATTGTTACCGTAACTTTATAAGCTACTGAATATTTAAGATGATTGCCGTATCTATATCTCTATTTCTAAAATGGGGGGTAGAAGAAAACATCAACATTTGAAACGATATTTTCACATATATCTAATCATTATTCTCCATAAGGCAATGACACTCATAATATTGCTTGCTATCACACCATAGTGGAGGTTCGACATGATGTCATCATGAAACAATGAGAGGAGGGGGGAGGTAACACTTGGTAAATAATAAGTCTGTTGAAAGAAAGCTTAAAGTTTCA